GGTGTGTCCTCTCAACACTGTGCTCAACTGGCTCAATGAGTTTGAAAAGTGGCAAGAAGGCCTGAAGGATGAGGAGAGTTTAGAGGTAGAGATTTGGTATTATATCACGTAGATCTTCCCATTACACATTACCATCATTAATTATTCACAAGGGTCCATTTGAAACTAATAAAGTAAAAAATAAGTACAAATTTATTTTGAAGTGACCATATTGTATGTAATGTGTCGAGAATTTAAATGGGGAAAAAAGTTTTAATTAAGGAGTTTTTGTTGGTGCACCTTTAAGATATGTATATGTAAATGAACTGTTGTGATTGGCTATCCTCAGCATTTTATGGTGTGTCATGTGCACATTCCTAATTTAATTAGAAATTAAATAAACCTGTTTAACAAATGCAAGTGTTGGTACTTTCCTCTTAATACATATTTTGCCACTTGTCCAGTAAAAAGAAACCAGCTGAGAACCACAGCTTCAATGATCAGTTACAGGAGTTAGTTGTTGACATTTAATCTCACTGTATGTCGGTGTCTTTTCCCTTGTGTTTCAGGTGACAGAGCTGGCCACAGTGAAGAGACCTCAGGAGAGAGCGTACGCTTTACAGCGCTGGCAGGAGGATGGCGGCGTTATGATTATAGGTTATGAGATGTACCGCAACCTCACGCAAGGACGAAACATCAAGAGCAAGAAGCTGAAAGAAGTCTTTCAGAAAACTCTAGTTGATCCAGGTGAAGTTACTGCATTGGCAAAGCGCTTCCACTCAAAACTGTCATGGAGAAGTCATGAAAAACTTATCATATATATATATATATATATATATACAGTATCTCACAGAAGTGAGTACACCCCTCACATTTTTGTAAATATTTTATTATATCTTTTCATGTGACAACACTGAAGAAATGACACTTTGCTACAATGTAAAGTAGTGAGTGTACAGTTTGTATAACAGTGTAAATTTGCTGTCCCCTCAAAATAACTCAACACACAGCCATTAATGTCTAAACCACTGGCCACAAAAGTGAGTACACCCCTAAGTGAAAATGCCCCAAAATTAGCCATTTTCTCTCCCCGGTGTCATGTGACTCATTAGTGTTACAAGGTCTCAGGTGTGAATGGGGAGCAGGTGTGTTCAATTTGGTGTTATCGCTCTCACTCTCTCATACTGGTCACTGGAAGTACAACATGGCACCTCATGGCAAAGAACTCTCTGAGGATCTGAAAAAAAGAATTCTTGCACTACATAAAGATGGCGTAGGCTATAAGAAGACTGCCAAGACCCTGAAACTGAGCTGCAGCACGGTGGCCAAGACCATACAGCGGTCATGTCCTGTAGACCAAGATAAACTTATTTGGTTCAGATGGTGTCAAGCGTGTGTGGCGGCAACCAGGTGAACCAGGTGAAGACAAGTGTGTCTTGCCTACAGTCAAGCATGGTGGTGGGAGTGTCATGGTCTGGGGCTGCATGAGTGCTGCCGGCACTGGGGAGCTACAGTTCATTGAGGGAACCATGAATGCCAACATGCACTGTGACATACTGAAGCAGAGCATGATCCCCT